TTAGGTTGAGTAAGAAACTCCGGGTAAGATACGCCTGAACAATGGCCCGTGCACTGAGAAATAGTAGCTGATAACCATTCTCCTGAGTAACACAAATGAAGCATTTGATTAACACAAAAGCTTCATCAACCATGGAAATCGAGTCATCTAGGAAACACAACTTTGGAAGAATCGATGCAGAAAACGTACCTTTATTGCGGTAAATAGTCTAGCCACGCCAGATTGCGTCCAATCCTTCCCGACCAAAGGCATGAATTGACCTAATACATCAGACCTGAAAAATATGATTCAAGATGAGTTATATTATCCAAGGATCATTACAAATGACCAACAAACCACAACAAGAGCCATATCGACATCAGAAATTAGGACCTGGACTGGGTGTGGTAGTGTCGGGTCCAAATTTTCATCCAACGTTCTAATAGATTTCTACTCTATAGGTAGTTTTGAAACTTGGATTTAAGCGGAGTAGGCTAACGTATATTTAAGAGTAAAGAAGGCTCACTTGGTAATAGTCCCATCAACATCAGAAATCACAATTCTTGCATTCCATTTCCATAGGTAAATGTGAGCGTCGACCTGTTAAAAATAATTTTAGCATTAACATATAAAAAAACACGATAACGTGCTTATAATATCCATATCACGAGTCTAGACCGAAACCTTTTGTGTCCCTAGAACCCGAGTTGAAAAAGTGAAAGCTATCATGTTTTGTCCCTCTTTCAGATTCAAAGATGCTATCTGCTCAGTTGTTGGAACATTTGTCCTCACAAGCTGTCTCTTAGAAGGCTCATTGCTGCGGTTCGGCACCCTTGGACTTTGTTCTCCTAGTGAGTTCTGTAATGTACATTCGGAATCGACAAAAATCTCCTCATTCGATGAGCTACTGTTACTGTGATCGAGCGTTTTAATCCTTCTAAATGGAATATGCCAGAGCCTCCATCTTCGGCCAGCCGGAGTGGACGCGGGAGTAGATTCATCGTCCCCAGGCTTCAATGAGCCATCCTGTTCCACAGAAATTGCATCTTTGGGATCCACTTCTAAATCAACTCCAAATGCAGCCATCCCCAGTATTATAGGAGCGGCTTTTTCCCACGACATGTACCTTTCTCCGTATCTGATAATTAGATTCCCATTTTTAGTAATTGATGAAGCGGACTTTTCAAATTCCTCTGCAGACACACGATGTGCGTCGAAGACTTCGGCTGCAGCAACCAAGCCCATACCAGCACGAAGTTCATGCCCGCAAAGTGATATCTCGAAGCCTGCATGTAACCAGAGAATGTATAGTCTGTGGCAAAGAACTGTTGAAGAATTTGTAACTAAATTTAAATGAAAAGATGATTACTTGTTGAATGATGATATGTACTTCCACATAAAGCATCTGCTGGAAATATCTCCAGCTCTCTTACACTGCACTCGTCATCAGCAACGGGCCCTTGCGAACCGCTGTCCATTCTTTCAATTCCCTCAATTGTGTTGTCAAACTGTTTGTCATCGAACACGTTTTCCTCGGTTCCACCAGCTTTAACAAGTACCTCTCGAGTCATATTCACAACAGAGCTATCGGAATCACTACCTGAACGTGTCCCATTTCTATCTCTGGAGTCAACAACACTCCCCCCATTGGTTTTAGATACCGATGGAACAATCGTGTTGACTTTTTCTTCTAAATATTCAGCCTCCACTGGAGAGCTGACACTTTCAGAATCAGTGTTTCCAACCAGTTTGGCGAATTTCGAGAGCTCCAAACAGTCTTTAGAAATCGCTTTCTCAATTCTAATGCGGCCATCTCGAGTTCCTCGGGTTTCTTCAGTTTGAGAAACAGCACTACCCTTAGACTCATTGCTCAAACCACCAACTTTATCCATTGTGGCGTTTTCCGTAGATGTATTGAGCTGATTGATATAATCAGCTGCCCAAGCATCCTCGCCTGTAAACTCGTCGTCTTCACAAAATTCAGTCCCCTCCCCAGGACCCAAATGAAACTGAGGTGTACTTAACTGCACATCTTCTGTATTTTGTTCGGTTGCCAATATCGGTGCAGTCAGGACTTGACCATCGACACTCACTAGGATAACCTCCGAATCCGTACCCTGTGACTCGGCACAACTCTCAGTCTCTAAATTCTCGTATCGATTAGAATTACTCTCTAAATCCTCCACAGAAGACAGCTCATCCTGAAAATCATAGAATCGATGCTCAACATCAGATTCTGCCCTCTCCAATCGAGCAACTGCCATAGAACTGTCTTCATCTCGCAGCTGAATGACAGTAGTGTCCGAGACACTGTGCTCCAGCCGACCCGTAACAATGAAATTTTTATTGTGGTCATCCTTGCTGTCTACAAAAATGACACCATCCTTAACCATATCATCTGTAACTCCATCAGCCTGATCTCCTTGACCAGTTTCTACTTCCTTTATGAAATAAGCCTCACCAGAGTTATCAAGATACATATGGAAATTGGCTTCAATGCCATTGACAGATATGTGGACGATCTTCTCCGTACCCTTTAAAACGCCTTGAAATTTACCAAATCGAACATACCACGGCGCGCTGCGAAAACTCCCATCCTGCTGCTGAACAACGATTATATCGACTGCCCCACCGAAGGGATGAAACGGTGTGGCAACCGAATAAACTCCTTGTGAAATGAGACTGCCAACTCTGCCAACAACGTTCATTTGGACGCTCGATTAGATATTCACGTTCCTTCGTTTGTTTCCTTTCAATCAAACCTGGCATAATTTATATCCTCCAGTTCTTGTGAAACTAATTTCACAACTTGAATACTTTTCAATCTTTTGTTATAATCACCACTCTACCAAATCTACCAACAAAATTCACTACATTACATTCAATTCACAATATAAACGCATTGAATTAAGAAACTCTAAATTTCCAATCAAATCACGAACAGCAGAATCAACCAAATACCTGAAATCTAAAATCAAATTCTTTTGCATGAACGAATCATTACTGAACATAAACGCATTGAATTAAGAAACTCAAAATTTCCAAAGTTCTAACAACACACACAAATCAAAAGAAAATCGAAACAAACCTAATTCCGATCATGCGATGATGAGAAAACCAAACAAAGAAAGAAAAAGAAACTTGCCGCAAATTTCGACCGCTAAAAGTTAAAACAACATACATTCTTCAATCTTGTCGGAGTCTTTCTCCTGTTGGCAACGAAAAAATTTGTAAATTTTGAGGTTCGTGGAGGTGGGTCGGAAAATGGGTGTCATGAATTTTCTTTACGAGAATGATTTGGACGACAAAAAAAAAAATTTTAAAAATCCAGAAGCAGAAATCTCATAACCATGCGCATTAAATAGGCAAATGGGTGTGATGGAAATACCAAAATGGCCTCCTTGTAAACGAAATTAGCGATCAGATCCGAGGAATTAGAGGCATTTGCAGTGTTGATGATCGGAGGAGCAAGGGTGTTTTGGAGACTAAGAAAAGTTTCCTGTCTCATAATTGATTTTTCCCCGCCTTCAAGATTGGTAGAACCAGACAACATCAACAACCTCGTGGAACTCGAATACATGTCATTTGTTTTAATTATTATTTTTTTAAAATAAACAATTACCGGGGTGTACATTCAACCGGATAACTCAGATCAACCCAACCCGAATTATAGGGTTGGATTGGATTAGATTAGCATTTCAAATAGGGTTGGGTTCATTTTTTTGAACCCGAACTGAATCGATTCGATTTCGAATTCATGGCGAAATCTCTAAGTTGATCCAACCAAATAAAAATATATAATATATTAAAAAATCCATTTGACATACTTAACTTTTTTTTTTAAAACATATTTAATTTTTTTTTATATTATTATATTATTATATTATTTTTAATTTATTCGTTTAGTTTTTTATATATATATATATATATATTTTAAAAATAACTTGATATTTCATATCATTTTTAAAACACTTTAGAATAAATGGACATATAACTATTAATACATTTTATACCTATAATAACATTAATTATAATTTATACTAGAGGTTCATAAATTATATATATAATATATAATTTTAAAATATATTCTAAATTATAATATATGATCTTAATATTTCATACCATTTTTAAAACACTTTAAAATAAATGAATATATAACTATTAATACATTTTATATATATAATAACATTAATTATGATTTATATTAAATATTATTTTAAAATATAACATATTCTAAATTATAATATATTTATTATCTATTTGGAGCAACACGGTAATAAAATTAGAATATAAAACAAAAAAGTAAAAAAAAATCTAATTTATGTATATTTGAAAAGGTAGTTAATTTTTAAAATTAAAATAATTTGAACCGTTAAATAAATTTTTTTCTCCCCTATTTTTTAAAATCTATAAATTAATTTCATTACCTTCATTTATTCATTCTTCATTTAGATCGGTGCAGCATTCCAGGAAGAGCCCAAAACCATCATTGATACCGTTCGAAGCCTATAAATTAATTTCATTCCCTTCATTTATTCATTTTCATTATTCAAGTCTGTGCAATTCAGCAGGAAGAGCCTAAAACCATCATCAATACCATTCAAATTCTCAAAAGGTTAGATCTCGAGTTTCAATTTTTTCATTATTTTAGAGTTATTTTTCAATTTGTAGATGTAAAGTTTAGAGGTATTTTTTTCGTTCGCTTTTCAGATAAATATCATTAATAATATTAGAGATCAAATAAATATCATCCCGTTTTATTGAAAATTAAATACATTAACAATTTTGATTCGGTATTTTATGGAAATAATAGAAATATGTTGAAATTTTTATAAGAATTTATTACATTAAATCTAAAGTTGTGTAGATCTTAAATATAAATTTATAATCTACTATATTTAAAAAAAAAAAATTCCACCAAAATTGAAATATATATACATCTTGTTTTTTTATCCTTCTCTGACAAAAAAATTTTAAATTCAAATTCAATTTTGGTTGCAGTTTTGATTCCTTTCATGGCAATGGATTCAAGCATGTTTCCGTTCGGCTACGACTTCGCTCCCACAGATGAAGAACTATTGATTTATTATTTGTTCCATAAGATTGTTGGAGACATCGTTCCGTCAATTTCGTTGCCTGTGATCGATATTTACTCCCATGAACCTGCTATGATATGGCAACAATGCGGAGGAATGGAGGATAAAGACATCTACTTTTTCACGACCCTAAAAAAGAAGAAATCTCGTATCATCAGGAAGGTCGGTCTTAACGGTGGCACTTGGAGTGGGGAGAGCAAAGGCCATAAAGTATTTTCTTCTGCTAACAATGCTCCCATCGGTACTATTAAACGTTTTCACTATGAGACTTCTGGAGGAGTGAATGCTAATGATGACGATTGTTCCTGGATAATGCATGAATACACACTTGATCCCACCGTCCTAACCAATGGGTTTGTACATGATTCGTATGTAGTTTGTCTGATTCGAAAAAGAATATTGAAAAAAGTAAGGAATACAGTCTCGTCAACCATACAAGCACCCTTTGTTTTTAATGGCCCTACAACAACACAAACAGATGCCCTTTACATGGATGGGGTCAATAAATGGTACGTATCATTTCTTATTTATCAAAATTATATATTTTTTAACTTGTTCATAAATATATATATTTTTTTTAATTTTTACAGTCCACCGGCACAAATGATAGAATCACATGATGATATAATGTTCACAAATGAGTTTGAGGAGCCACTAGAAGAATTAAATGCGGAACATTCTGATAATATAATGTTTGCAAATGAACTCGAGAACCAACCAGAAGAATCAAATGCGGAACATTCTGATCATATAATGTTTGCAAATGAGCTTGAGAACCAATTAGAAGAATTAAATGCGGAACATTCCGATGATATAATGTTCGCAAAAGAGATTGAGAATCAATTAGAAGAATTAAATGCGGAACATTACGATGATATAATGTCAGCAAATAAGTTTGAGAAGCAACCGGAAGAATTAAATGCGGAACATTGCCACATAGAAAAAGATTCCAGCAATGACTTTGAATGGTAGGTAACATTTTAATTTTAATTGATAACAAAAAAATAATTTAATTTTATAAGTATAATATTTTTTAAATAATGTTTTTTTTTTCTTTCTTCTTAATTTTCAACAGTCCACTCGAACAAATGATGAAATTAGATGATCAATCTTTTGAAAATACAATGTTGGTAAATGAGTTTGAGATGCAATGGGACGAGTTAAACCTAGAATTTCCAGACCTAGAAATAAATTCAAGTATTGACCATTCAAGGTAAGCGAGTTTTTTTTTTTTTTTTTTTTTTTGAGGAATAAGTTTTTGTTTTTCTAATTTTTTTTTTTCTTCCTAATTTTCAATAGTCAACCTGTACAAATAATGGAATTACACGATCAACTTTCAAGTGATGATATAATTTTCGCCAGCCAACTTGAGAATCAGCTGGAAGAATTAAACACAGATTTTCCAGTCCTAGAAAGTATTGACCATTCAAGGTAAGCCATATTTTGAATTTGTGAGTTTTCTTTTTCTTTAACGTATAAGTTTTTTTTTTTTTCTAAATATATTTTTTTTCTTCCTAATTTTCAATAGTCAACCTGTACCAACAATGGAACTACACTATCAATCTTCAAATGATGATACAATCCCAAATGAGTTTAATAAGCAACTGGCAACATTAAATACAGAATTTCCAGACATAGAAAAAAATTCAAGTAACGACCATGAATGGTAGGTGATATTTTCATTTTGATTGATAACCAAAAAAAAATATATCTCTCTATTTCAAAAATAATTTAATTTTGTATGGGTAAGTATTTATTTTTATTTTAACCATGTTGATGAACAATTATTTATTTTTTAAAATTTTGGTTTTAGTTCACCGGCTCAAATAATGGAATCCTATGTCCAATATTCAAACAATGATATGCTGGTTCCTGAAGGGAACGAAAAGGAACTTGAACAATGGAACATATTCAACAGAGAACAAAGTTCAAATTATAATCATCAATGGCATTAGGTAAGTTATCCAATTTATTCGTATTTAAATTATTTGTAAACATTTTAATTTATCATTATATTTATTTTTTCATTTATTAATTATTTTTATAAATTCATTATTTTGCAGATGTGATCGTGCTTCTGTTTCGAGCAAAGATGCATTCTCTCTTTTCATATTTTTATTATTTTTAGTTTAGATAAAGTGTAAAGATAATTATCATGGTGATAATTATCCCGTTTTTTTTTTCCAACTGTAATAAGAAAAAATATATCTATATATATAGATCTGATTTCATTCCCTAAATTTCAAAATATTTTATTTTTATTTAAGTTTTATTAGTCAATAAATGTTTTACCAGATTTGGAATCTCAGTAACACAAAGTTTATCCACTCAAGAGTTCATCACTTCGCAGTCTTTTTTTTTTTTTTTGAATTTGAATTTGAATTTGAAATGCATATGAATAATTGAGTTGAATTATTAAACCAAGCAAACAGAATATAATTTCTTTTCTTCTTTAATCTTTTTCGGTAAAGCCAAAAAAAATTAGGTAAAAAATTATAGAATGTTGAAAATTTCCATCAAGTATGAAGACCAGTATCAGGAAAGGGGAGGAAATGTTCTTCTCAAGTTATCGTCCAAAAGAATCCTAAGCTGCAATCACAGCTACTGATATTCTCCATTTTTTGCTTTTAACTTTTTTTTTTTTTTCTTTCACTAATATTATTTTAGGCTTTCAGTTTTGTTGTTGATTTCATCTTTTTCTAGGGTTCGTGAATTGAAAGTTGCAAAAAACTCAGAGGACAATAGAGAGGGATGGGAGAGAGATCAGAATGAGCTATGAAGTAATGAAGATGATTAAACACAAACAAAAAGCATGTGAAATTCAATTACAGAACAAGAAGAAGAAAGAACAGATCAAACTTCCAGACTCGGAATCAATTACCATTACTTCCACTTCTATGCTCCACAACATCGACACTTGCAGAACACGTCAAAATCCTTCGAAAAATCCGGAACAGAACGAAACTGCAAGAAAATTTCTTCATCTTCCTCCAAATGAAACACTTCCTCTTCCGATTGCGATTCCGATTCTGATTCTGATTCCTCTTATCGCCCGATTTTCTCCTCTTTCTCTGACCTAATTTCTCCTTTACTTTCCACAAACACCTCCTCGTTTTCTCCCGCACCGATTCCTTCGTCGAAAATTTATAGCTCCTCAAATACATTTGCCTGCACGATACTCCATCCACAACCGGAACGCGGCGGCGCGTTCTCGGAATCGCCGATTTATCGGTCTCGTTATCCGAATCCGTCCAATTCGAGAGGTTGATATAGGCCGCGCGCGGCGGACGGCCACTGTCCACGGTGCTAATGCAGTAGTTCGTTGTACAGACCGCGCTCATTTTCTCTGATCGATGATCGTTAATGGCGGAGAAGGGCGAGGAGGGTCGGGAGCATTAGCAGAAGATTGATTTTGAGAAATGATCTGAGATATGAATTATTGATTTGTTTGTTTTTATAAAGAAAATTTGGGGGAATTCTCGTACGCCAAACAGAAGCTGAAAATGGATCCGAGGCGCTTTTCTTCTTTTAATTGTACAGTTTTATTGATTTATTTATTCATTTTTTTGTCAGTAAGATCAACGGTCTAACATTGACATTATTATTAGCATATACCAAGAGTTTTAAAAAAAAATTTAACATTTTAAATTACAATAAATATAATATAGAAGTTATATAAACTAAATTACCACAAATAACCAATTTTGCCCCCATATATTTTAAAATTGTTTTTCTATTTTAAATATTAGTCGATGATGCAACTATTTTTTTTCGCTCTAACTAAATTTATAGTTTAATCTTCTCGTTACAATGTACAAAATATTATCGAAAAAATATACATTTTTATTCTTAAAGTTGAGGCAAATGTCGATTTTGGCACGAAATTTGGTTCCATTATATTGATATAATAAAAATGTTTATATGTTATTTTTTAATAAAAAAATCTCTTATCTTGTTCCGATATTTTTTTTTCTCCTATTTGAGCTCCTTCACCAACCTTAGCACCGACCCATTTCCATTTCACTTGCTTGTCGAAAGCTTCGTCTAAGGAATGATAACGTTTTGTTTAATATTTCTCATCGTTCCACAACACTGTTAAGGCAGGACAACTAGAGATGTATCATGGAAGGAGAAAAAGAAAGATTATTTATAATATATATATATATATATATTATCATTTTTATGATAAAAAAAATGTAATGTCTAAATTATACCAAATTAAATATTTATTTAGTTTAAAGATTAAATGGCACGATTTTAAACTTAAAAACGAAGTGGACAGTGAACTAGATTATTGTTTAATTAAAAAATATCTCGTGAATTGCAATTGTAAAGATTGGGCAATAATCTAGTTGAAATAATAATAACAAATAAATAAATAAAAAGACTGGAAGTGTTTCGAACTTGGCCCATTTTCATGTTAACGGATTTGGTTAGAAACGGCCCAACACAGTGCCACGTGGACATAGTTTGAATAAGAAGTTAAATTTTATTATTAAACTTGTTAAATAATAATAATAAAATTTTTTTAATTAATTTTTTTATAGATTAAGTTTAAAATTTAACCATAAACGAAGAGATTTATTAAAAATAGGAATATTATAATAATATTTTAATTTAAATCTCTATTACTTGAAGGAAGTAAAAGTAAAAATAAAAATAGCATTATTCTAATAATTTATGAAAAAAGTAAAAAATGAAATGTTTTTGTAAAAAGAATGGGAATGAAACCTTTTTTTAACTTAATTTTATTTTAATAATAAGAAGGAGACGAAAATGGCCGTTGGGTTACCTTACACACCTAATGTTAATAAATTAAACTTTACCAATTACTTATTACCTGAGTAGGGTTTTCCAAAATATTTAACAAATAAATGCGTGGAGAATACATCTTAATGAAAAAATATCATACTTAGTACGGGTAAGAATGGTTCTTTTTACGTGGTTAAAAAAATCGTTTTAAGCATTTGACAATATATTATAAACACGTTCAAACCTTTCGTTTCGTCATAGTGTTCATATTCAACTTGTTTGAATAGCAAATATCAAGGTCTCGTCTTTTCTTTTTTTGTTATTTAAATTTATTTTTATTTACTTACCATTATAACACATTTTCAAAATTTAAAATCAAAATTTTTAAGAACTTATAACAAAAAAATTCAAATGTTTTTAGCAACAAAGGATAAAATAATTAATTTTGAGACTGTTTATAAACATAGTAACTTTGAATTGCATTGTAATGATAAAATAAATTATATATTAATAAAAATATTATTTAATTTCATACTTTGTCTCGGAAAAAAAAATTATAAAAATACTCTCAAATTTTTTAAATAAACCAAAAAATATTTAGAATCATGATAATATTTCAACCTAAAGTTTAAAAAATAGATAAGGTTTCGTGAAGATGTAAATATGTAAGGAGGAAGTTGGGTTGGTTTATGAATGACATTGGTAAGAAAATGGAAACCTTGCCGCAACTCCCCTCTCTCATTCTTTTCTCCGGGCGTTGGAGATTTGATACTCCAATTCAACCACCACAATTTCTCTTCACCATAAATTCCTCAATTTTGATGCCTTTCCTTACTAAATTCTCTTCCCTTCTCTAACTAAGACGCCGCCGCCGCCGCCGCCGTCCAAATGGCTGCTACCGGCGGCGACAGTTTCCCAAGGAGTTGGAGTTACACCAACGAATCGGAGCTCAGAGAGTTCGCCCGGCGACCCACTCTCGGCGAGCTCCTGAAGCGAGTGGAAGACGCACAGTCGCCAGATCACCGTACCGTCGACGTTAGTTATGGGTGCAGTTATCTGGCGCCGCCCCCGGTGTTGTATCCTTTCAAGCTTTCGTTTCAGAATCTGAGTTACAGCGTGAAAGTTCGGCGGAGAGGTTCGTCGTTGCCGGAGAATTTGACGGCGGAAGAGAATGGTGGAAGGGTGAAGCTGTTGCTTAATGATATCTCCGGAGAGGCGAGGGAAGGGGAAATTATGGCGGTGCTTGGAGCTAGTGGGTCTGGGAAATCTACGCTCATTGACGCTCTCGCTGATCGGATTACAAAAGGTTAGATTTAAAAAAAAAATCCTTATATTTTAATTTTAATTTTAATTTACAAATATGTTCTTATTTTGAGTAGAGAAATTGAGAGGGACGGTGACATTAAACGACGAAGTTTTGGAATCTGCGCTGCTGAAAGTAATCTCCGCCTATGTGATGCAAGACGATCTTCTGTTTCCGATGCTTACAGTGGAAGAGACTCTCATGTTCGCGGCGGAGTTCCGGCTACCTCGCTCACTCTCAAAATCCAAGAAGAAAGCGAGAGTTCAAGCATTAATCGATCAATTAGGTCTAACAACCGCCGCGAATACCGTCATCGGCGATGAAGGTCACCGCGGCGTCTCTGGTGGAGAACGACGTCGTGTCTCTATCGGAATCGACATTATCCACGATCCGATACTTTTGTTCCTCGATGAACCTACCTCGGGCCTCGATTCCACCAGCGCTTTCATGGTTGTCAAAGTCTTGCAGAGAATCGCACAGAGCGGAAGCATTGTGATAACGTCGATTCATCAACCGAGTTATCGAATCCTCTCGTTGCTTGATCGATTGATCTTCCTTTCCCGTGGGCAAACCGTTTACAGCGGATCTCCGGCAGAGTTGTCAGATTTTTTGGCTGATTTTGGGCATCCGATTCCAGAGAACGAAAATCGGACGGAATTTGCCTTGGATTTGGTTCGAGATCTGGAAGAAACTGCTGGTGGAACCAGATCCATGGTGGAACACAACAAATCATGGCAGTGGAAGAACAAGAATCACTTAAAAGGTCAGAGAACTATTCGTCGCAATTCTTCTCATCGATTTCATCTCTGTCTCAAAGACGCCATTAGCGCAAGCATTTCGAGAGGGAAATTAGTCTCGGGCGCCCCAATTGATTCGAATCGTTCTTCTTCGTTCTCGAAATTTTCAAATCCTTTGTGGACTGAGATTTTAGTGCTAGCAAAACGATCGATTACGAATTCGAGGAGAATGCCAGAGCTATTTGGAATTAGATTGGGCGCGGTTCTGATCACCGGGGTAATTTTAGCCACCATGTTTTGGCATCTGGATAATTCCCCTAAAGGTGTTAAAGAACGGTTAGGGTTCTTCGCCTTCGCCATGTCCACAACCTTCTACACCTGTGCAGAGGCAATCCCTGTTTTCCTTCAAGAACGATACATTTTTATGAGAGAAACAGCCTACAACGCTTACCGTCGATCTTCTTACGTTCTCGCACATTCATTAATCTCCATTCCGTCGTTGATTATCCTCTCTTTGGCCTTTAGTGGAACGACGTACTTCGCCGTTGGTCTCGCCGGCGGCTTCTCTGGATTTCTTTTCTTCTTCGCCGCCGTACTCGCCGCCTTCTGGGCCGGGAGTTCGTTTGTTACATTTCTCTCCGGCGTCGTTTCTCATGTAATGTTAGGCTACACCGTCGTTGTCGCCATTTTAGCGTATTTTCTTCTCTTCAGTGGCTTCTTCCTCAGCCGGGACCGGATGCCGCCGTACTGGATCTGGTTTCACTACATGTCGCTGGTGAAGTATCCGTACGAAGCAGTGTTGCAAAACGAGTTTGAGGCGACAGCAGAGTGCTTCGTCCGCGGTGTTCAGATGTTCGACAATACGCCACTCGCGACGGTGCCAGCGGCGGCGAAGGTGGAGCTGCTGAAGAGCATGGGGAAGACGTTGGGGTTCAACATCACCGGATCCACCTGCGTTACTACCGGCTCCGACGTACTGAGGCAACAGGGGATTACGGATTTGAGCAAATGGAACTGTATTTGGATCAGTATGGCTTGGGGATTCTTTTTCAGAATTCTGTTTTATTTCGCGCTCTTGTTTGGTAGTAAAAACAAGAGAAACTGAAAATTAACCCAAAAAAATTAATTAAAAACTGTATTTAGGGAGTGAAGAATCACGACTTTATAATCTATTTATAATTTAATAATACTCTCTGTATCCTACGAAAGTTTTAGGAAGTACAAAATAAAATTATATTTTTAAAGTAGACAATATCTGACAAAAATAAAAATAGATTTATTATTATTATTATTATTATTATTTTAATTTGGATTATAATAACTTGACGAACAGAGTGAATATTTAATTACTTTTGTTATTTAACTTTTTTATTTTTATTCTAATTAGATAAAATAACGATGGGCAAAAAAGTAAAATCTACCTAAACGGGCCAAGCGAACAAATGAACGAGGAATGCGAAGCCCAAAAACCTTTAAGCCTCAGTTCCCGCCAGCGGCTTTGGGTCTCTTCATCTTTTCGATATTGACGGCGCTCTACAATTGATCCGCCGCAGCGACGGGATGAACTACGGCGCTTACGGCCGCCTTATCCAGCACTGCACCGATCAACGATTCTTCCGCCTCGGTAAGCAGCTTCACGCTCGTCTTGTCTTATCATCAGTCGCTCCGGATAACTTCCTCGGATCGAAACTCATTGCCTTATACTCGAAATCCGGCAGCCTTAGAGATGCCTATAATGTGTTTGATAGCATTTCTCACAAAAACATTTTCTCTTGGAATGCTTTGTTTATCAGCTACACTCTTCACAATATGCACGCTGATATGCTGAAGCTGTTTTCGTCTTTGGTTAATGTAAATTCGACGGATGTGAAGCCGGATAAGTTTACGGTTACTTGTGTTTTGAAAGCGTTGGCGTCTTTGTTTACTAATTCGATTTTGGCTAAGGAAGTTCATTGTTTCGTTCTTCGACGAGGGCTTGAATCTGATATTTTTGTTGTCAATGCTTTAATTACTTTTTACTCGAGGTGTGATGAGCTGGCTTTAGCGAGAATTATGTTTGATAGAACGCCTGAGAGAGATATAGTGTCTTGGAATGCGATGGTGGCTGGGTACTCGCAGGGTGGGTTCTATGAAGACTGCAAGGAACTATTTAAAGCGATGTTGGGTTCAGGAGAGCCGAAGCCTAATGCATTAACCGCAGTCAGTGTTTTGCAAGCTTGTGCTCATTCAAATGATCTAATTTTTGGGATGGAAGTTCATAAATTCGTCAATGAAAGCGGGATTGAAATGGATGTTTCACTATTCAACGCTGTTATTGGATTATATGCAAAGTGTGGTAGCTTGGATTATGCACGGGAGTTGTTCGAAGGAATGCCTGAGAAAGATGAGGTCACCTATGGCTCAATGATATCAGGCTACATGGTCCATGGTTTTGTTAACCAAGCAATGGATCTTTTTCGAGAACTGGAAAGGCCAGCATTGAGCACATGGAATGCTGTGATTTCTGGTCTGGTTCAGAACAATCAACAAGATGGAGTTGTAGATATATTTCGAGCAATGCAATTGCATGGTTGCAGACCAAATACTGTGACACTTGCGAGCGTTCTTCCCATTTTCTCACACTTTTCAACCCTGAAAGGTGGGAAAGAAATTCATGCTTATGCTGTTAGAAACGCCTACGATGGGAATATTTATGTTGCTACTGCCATCATTGATTCTTATGCTAAGTCTGGTTACCTCCAGGGGGCACGCCAAGTTTTTGACCAATTAAAACGTAGGAGTCTAATCATTTGGACTGCAATAATTTCAGCGTATGCTGCGCACGGAGATGCTAATGCGACTCTTAGTCTTTTTTATGAGATGCTGACAAATGGCATTCGACCTGACCCTGTAACCTTTACATCAGTATTAGTCGCCTGTGCCCATTCAGGAGAGTTAGATGAAGCCTGGAAGATATTTAATGTCTTGTTACCAGAGTTTGGGATTCAACCACTAGTTGAGCATTATGCTTGCATGGTTGGAGTCCTTAGTCGAGCAGGAAAGCTCTCTGATGCAGTTGAATTTATTTCTAAAATGCCAATTGAACCTACTGCAAAAGTTTGGGGTGCTTTGCTCAATGGGGCTTCTGTTGCTGGTGATGTTGAACTTGGAAAGTATGTTTTCGATCGTCTCCTTGATATTGAGCCTGAAAATACTGGTAACTACATCATCATGGCTAATTTATATTCACAATTTGGAAGGTGGAAAGAAGCTGACAATGTTAGGGATTTGATGAAGGAAGTTGGATTGAAGAAGATCCCGGGTAATAGCTGGATAGAAACAAGGGAAGGGTTGCAGAGTTTTGTAGCTAGAGACACTTCAAATGACAGGACTCCAGAGATTTATGGAACGTTGGAAGGATTGGTTGGGTTGATGAAAGAAGAAGGACTCATTCAGCAACATGAGATAGATGACGACTGTGGCAGTGTTTAGCGCATGGGTGATCATCCAAGGAAGCATGGAACATATAACAAGACGACCTATGAAGCACATTTGTGTACCATTCCTCTGCTTGAATCACGCTCCTCGAAGATAAACTAGCTTGTTGCATGACAGGAGAGTCCATAGCATTAGTCATTCCTTGAAACGTTGTGGACTTATATCTGATTTCATCTCACCAAGCCAATTGAGAACCGCGCAAACTAGCTGCAGAAAAATGGTTCTCCATTGACCAAAGCTGTTCTTTCTGCTGGCAATTAACTTGCCTTCTCTATTTATAGGCCAAGCTATCTGTGTAGGGACAATAGGTTCACAGAAGCATAATGTTGAAGGCTGCTAGAATTCGTCCGGAAGGGGTAAATATATTCATGAATGCGACTACGAATGAAAAAGGAGTTTGATATTTAGCTCTGCTGGTGGGTAATAAGGGATTATTTAGTTCATAATAGTATATGATTCAAGAGTTCCAGATTACATTTCTGACATGAGAGAAAGGTAGGCGGCGAGTTGAATGGTTACTTAACTTAATAGATTTGTAGCCTGATGAAGATGGTTATATGTCGTTAGTTGAGAGCTAGACAACACTGCAGCTTGTAGGCTTCGTTCATTTCGGATTCCCAAAGGATGCCGAAAATGGACCCAGATCGAAGCATCGTTAATCCCCACAAAAGCATTACTTTATGCTCTGTATAATTGTAAGGTGATTTCGGAAGGCACTTTAGTATTTCTTTCAACGGAGGTGGGTGACACTTTCACTTTCAAAAGTAAGAATCGTGAGTTTGTGATTTTCTTTCTACCATTTTCGGTAAGTTCATCTAACTGTTTGAGATCATAACAGTGCTGTTGTGTTCCGTGCTTCAGATATCTCAATCACGATGCCTTCAGTTGAAACCACTCAACTTCCCTCAAGCTGCATCTTGCAGGTATGAAAGGAAAATTGCTAATATTAAATTCTTTCGTACAACTGCCTTGAAGCTTTATAAAATAAATGTAGTGATTTAGCTCAGTATAGCTGACAATAATATTTCATATTAAATAGTAGCTTGTTCACTGAATCCTTTACTTAGTATACTTCATTGCTTCTGACTCGTTACTTTTCTCTTGATACTCTGTTTCACCATTTAGCCTACATGTGTTCAATTTCATTTCTTTTTGTCACAAAAATCTATATAAATTGAACTACCTGAACACATACAAACAGATACGAATAGATATTCATGCATTTTTGGATTCGAGAGGTGTAAAATTCAATCAAAGGAAAAAAGGGACATCAGGGGTCAACATTTCAAGGTAGTAAACTATATTTCACACCCTACCACTTGTGTAGCAATCAAATTAGATTAGAACCGAACATAATAGAGAAATATGTAGCCTATTGATCCTTAGAACTAAGTGAGAAAAGATCCGAAAGAAAAAGCTCAAGCTCCTTAATGTTCACCTCCTTCTTGAGACGGTAAAACCCTACCCCAAGGTTAACCCTTATGCCACCAATTACTCAAGACAGTAAAATAAAAATCCTACCTAAGGTCAAAAGTTGTTTTGTAGATTAGTTGCGGTACACCTAAGCTCACCTACAGACTTGTAGACGACCATAGGTATATATAGTGTCAACTAAACTTTAAAAAGATTAATAGATCTCCAAAATCTCAAATTTAGGACACATGGGAAGAGCAATGATCTGTCTAACCACGTGAACGTAACACTTCCCTCATCAAAATGAAACTTTTGCCCATAACACAAAGCTAAGCTGGGAAATTGGGGAGAAGAGGTTGCAGGGAGAGAGAAAGAGAGAGAGAGAGAGAGTAGAAATATGATTGGATCTTGTGGAATTCCACCGGCTTTGACGAAAGAGTGTTAGGTTGGTTGGTACAAAAGGAAGAGCCATGGATGGGCCACGCTTCCCTTGACTCTTCTCTGCTTGTTTTGTTGCGTATCACAGATAAAAAAGGCAATGACTATCAGCTTATGGAAAAAGGAAGTGAATAACAGGTTGGATTTGGCCCTTTCTTCTGGCTAATTAAATTATAATTTCCTTCTCCCCTATTTTTTTTATTTTTATTTTTATATCCATCTTTATTAGGAGCATTTATTTAGTGTTCTTGGATTGTAGCTGGTGCTCTTATTTTTATAATCATTAGAGAAAGAGAGGAGTTTATCTAATGACCATGTCCAAATTGAAACCTAAATAGTATGCTAAAGGAAGCAGCTATCTTCTTGTCATGGTGGTGGATTTGGAGATGGGCCTGATAGAAAAGCCCATCAGGCCCAACCCAAATTAAAACTAACAAAACGGATATATTACTTTGTTTGATTAAAAAATTTTAAATGTTCTTATACTTTTAAATATCTAATTGAATTCACGTGCTTTCGATTTCAAGAAAAGAGGGCACCAACACGAGTGCTTGTGAGCTCAAACCAAGACATCCACCAAACAACTGTAGACCAGAGCTTTGTAGTCAAATTCAAACTCATAATTGTTTTTTTTTTTTCTTTTAATTTTTAAATTTTTTTAAATGCTTTAAAAGAGAAGGTGAAACATCCCATATTGCCTCCAAAACCAAGCTTCCTTTGAGACATGAGACCTCAACACCATCCTATATTAACTAATTTATATTAATTTAAATCGAGATTGTTATATAAAGGTTAAAATATTTTTCTTTTTCAATTTTTTATGTTTAATCCTTACATTTTCAATAAATCTAAAAATTAGATTTTATTATTAGTTTGAACTTTGAAGTTAATTTTATCTAAATTGGTTAAATAATAATAGTAATATCTTGATTTGAAGGAAAACTAATAAGATTCTTTTTAAAATATAATTAATTATATAGACTGACTTTAATATTATTTAAAAACATATAAAAACAGAAACCTAAATCTAACTCTAAATTTTGCTCAAACTCTTTAGACTTCCCTTCAATAATGAAATCTAGATTATTATTTAAATAAAATGTTCAATCTTGAATGACAACTCTTTTCATGAAAGTATATTAAGTACTATAAGAGTATGAATACTTCTTTCATTTATTATCTGTCATGTTAGCATTCATTTAAAAATGACGTGAGGTTTACTAATTGAAAAAATATATTATTATAATGTAAGAAAAGGAAGTATGATCATATTTTCTCGACGAAAGACGTGTACAAAAGGCTAAATATTTACATAATAGAAAAGGAAAAGGAGGGGAGGGGGGGTCTAACAGGACAATATGATCAATCAGATCCAGACATAATGCTAGGGAACATCTATAAGCTGATCTCAGAAACAGGGTCTTGTGCATGTACCACTCATTTTGGTTGGTGCAGTGTTCACATCACTTCCAAAAGAAAATTAGACTTTTTGTTAATAAAATATTCAAATAAAAATACTTTCCAAATAAATGAAAATGCATTTAAATTCGTTATTTTTATCCTTTAAAGAGAGGGTAAAAAAGATTTTTCCTTAGAGCCAATAATTTCCCATCCTTTTTGTTGAAACAGCTATGGCAATGCTTTTCCAAATCTTAGACAAATTTCACAATTGGGTTTTGATGAGATTTTGTTTGTTGATTGATCAGAAAATTCTGCATTATCGATTTGGTATAATATTTACAAGACATAAAAATTTAAGGAATAATTAATCCATCACCTGAAAAAAGAAAAGTTCTAATTTTATGCCAACTTCCTTATAAAGGAGGAATAAAAAAAAAAACTTTCATCCCCAACAACATTTATCTTTTCCCCTTTTTTCAAAAAAGAAATTATGTCAACTCATCTGTCAATTTCTATATTTACTTATAGTGAAGAAATCATTTTTTAAAAAAATAATAGGCGAAAATTAGACAAATAAAATAAAATAAAATAAAGGAAAAAATTAGAGTGAGAGAGAGACTCATTTATGTCGGTTAACAACTTACAAAGTAGGATTTGAAGAAACCCTATAATAAATAACAGTGAACTCATCCTATCCTATACCATCAAAAAAATTCTTCTTATTGGTTGCCACCCAAGACTTTTGATTGAAAAGAAATCAAGATTTTCCTAGAAGTTGCAACTAATTGCTGTTTTATATTTAGTTTTTTCAGTCAATTGGTATGAAAATTTAAAAAAAATAAGAACAATGGGTCTCAGATGCATGGGAAAATGTTTAAATTTAATCTTTTATAACTCCCCAACTTCAACCTTAGATTTGTTCTATGTTAGGACACACTATTGGAAAGAAATGAATTATATTGACAAACATATCCATGTATCTATGTATCTAAATATGTTAATAAAACAATAATGTAATAACATTTGTAATAATGGGGTTAAGTAAAAATTGTAAATTACATAAAGGTTAATTGTTTGATAATAACCAAATTTATAAGTAGTTGATAACGACACTGGAATCTGTAGTATGAGTTTTGATTGACAAATTATGAGCTTTGTAATTGACAGAATATAATTCCCCACTCTTATCCTTTTCCCTTTTAGCTTATTTCTCTCTCTTTCATAATTGCTTGGCCATGCTGACAGCTATGCAATTCCATTTCAGATTTAATTTCACAACCACTTTATTGTTGCTTTGTAATGGAGATACAGTTTTTAGAATTTCAGAATTTTTTTTCTTTGCAGTTTTATTCAATCTTTTATTAATTGAGGCAAAAGGCTCACTTAAACAATTCCTTTATTTTGCTAATTGAGGCTTAGATCAGCTCATTAATGTCTAATCTCTCTACCATGCCAAAGGAGAAAGACACAAATGCTGAATCCCACTTCAAAAAAGTCTACCTAAAAAAATGAATAGAAATTACTACAAGGCAAGGCAAAGTAGATTGCTGGATTTACAAGGAATGAAATTCCAAATGCAGATCAGAAATGTGGAGGTAGTTTTTACAGTAAGAAAAAGGAGGAGGGGGGGTGCTTTTCTGATTTAGATTAGGAAAAATTGCCTGAAATGGTGGGTTGTGGCTGATGGTAAGGTGATTAGAAATGGTGGGTTTTGCTCATAAATTTCAGTTGGAGCTTTTTTATAATTGCAGTGCAGACATGAAGTGGCGGAAGGCCCCAAACCCATAAAAAAAGCCCACCACTTGTCTATAAAAATACAGAAAAAGAGTAAAAGGCAGAGAGAAAACAGAGAAGGGAGGGAGACTGGGGATTGGGGAGGGACAACAATGTCAGATTTGTAGTTTGTTTAGTGTGTTTTTATTATCCCCATGCTAGATCGCATACGATAGAAAGAAAAAAGAGAAAACAAAACAAAAGAGAAACAGAGAAAGAAAGAGAAACTAACCCGGTGGATCCTCTGTGGAAAAGCAAGCTTCCAAAAACCCTCAGTGATTCAATCGGCTGACTCTCCCCTTTTGATCACTCTGATCTCAGACCAAACGCTGCCACTTTCTTAACAGTTATGTGCTTTTACAGCTCAGTCTGTTCCTGGAAGATGACACAGAAGCAAGGGCCAAACCCATAAATCCCAGATTCAAGGTACACAGGACCAGCACCACCTCCATATTCTCTGAACTTGTATTAAGACTGTTGCTTTCTTGTCTCAAGGGACATTTTGCAGTTATTTTAGCCCATACCTGTCCGGTCTTTATCTGAATTTTTTGTTCATATTAATGGTGTCTGGATATATTGGGGGGGATGTGGATGTAGTTTCAGGAATAGGGGTTGAAAGTATTGAGTATAAACAAAACCTGGAGCTGAGAGTGGGTCTAGGTCGTGTTCTTGATCTGGGATGATGAATTTTTTGATTGCTGGCTCATTTGGATGATACATATGAAACAGAAACTCCAGTAATTTTGTGTCCATTGACTGGCCTTTTAGAAAAAAAAATGGTTAAACCATGCTGGAAGCCTCACGATGATGGTGATTCAAACGGACGAGTTGATGGGTTGTTGTGGTCTAAGGATCTGGGGCACCATGTTTATGGGCAATTCTCCATGGCAGTAATCCAAGCTAATAATGTGGTGGAAGATCAAAGCCAGCTTGAATCTGGGGCTTTGAGTATGACCAACCCAGGTCCGCAGGGGACCTTTGTTGGAGTTTATGACGGCCATGGCGGAACCGAAGCTTCACGGTTTGTCAACGACAATCTCTTCAGCAATCTCAAAAGTTGGTTTTCATCTTCATTGCAAACATTGTACAGTCTGATTTTTTTTTTTCTGGGTCTCAAAATTTGCAGGAATATTAAGTCCCCACGAGCTGCTTTTGATGTTTCTTTGTGGTTTTTCAAAGCGCAGGATATGTATCTTTGCACCAAAACATATCTGAAAACGCTATCAGGAAGGCTTTTGCAGCAACAGAAGAGGAGTTTCTCTCTCTTGTCCAGAAACAGTGGCTTAATGAACCCAAGATTGCATCTGCTGGATCATGTTGTTTGGTAGGGATCATATGCAATGGACAGCTTTATATTGCCAACGCAGGCGATTCTCGAGCAGTGCTTGGGAGAACCGAGAGAGCCACTAGAGAAGTCATTGCCATTCAATTGTCCACAGAACACAATGCAAGCATCGAATCAGTGAGAGATGAACTACGGATGTTTCATCCAGAAGATCCTCAGATTGTGGTCCTAAAGCACAATGTGTGGCGTGTTAAAGGTATCATACAGGTAATTTTCCTGGAAATTCTCTTCAAGTTTGAGAGGGTAGCTGTTGATTGTTAAGTGAAGCAATCTAGGAATCCTCTACAGTTCTGAACCTTCAAAAACTTGCCCCCTGCAGATTTCAAGATCCATAGGTGATGCATATTTAAAAAAGGCAAAGTTCAACAGACCTCCTCTGCCACCTAAATTTCAACTGCCTGAGCCATTTTACAAACCAATCCTCAGTGCAGAACCGTCGATACTGGTACACAAACTCCGCCCAGATGATCAATATCTCATATTTGCTTCTGATGGTCTGTGGGAGCACCTTAGCAACCAGAAGGCTGTTGACATCGTCAACAGCTATCCTCGAAATGTAAGAATATTTCTTCTCATAATCCACCATCTTGTTGATCCATGACATTGCTTTGATGGCCATCACTTTCATATGCCTTATCAAAATTTGCTAAAATTTATGGTTCCACTTGGTGAAAAACTGCAGGGAATAGCAAGGAGACTTATCAAGGCTGCACTTCGAGAAGCAGCTAAAAAAAGAGAGATGAGATATTCCGACCTGAAAAAGATAGATAGAGGTGTGCGAAGGCATTTCCATGATGACATTTCTGTTGTAGTTGTGTTCTTAGATCCTCAGTTGATCAATGGCAGGCCCTCCCCTTGTTCCTTGTCAATCAGAGGAGGAGAAGGTCTCCCTACGTCAGCAAACTCCTAGCTGGTAAACTTTGTTAATGTCTTTATACCCTTTTCAATTTCTTGACAAACAAAACTAGAAAATTCAGGCTTCTTAGAAAGATCTATCAATTTGTAAGATCTTCTATTAGCAAGTAAAATAGAAGATGACAGGATGCAAATGTACAAAGTTCGTAAATCGTTTCTTGATGTAACAAAATCAAACAACGTCCTTCATCTTTGTAAATCTTGTTTTTCCATCAGAAATATCAACATTATCCCGTTCTTTACCATCAACACATAATATTCTCTTCTTTTGAGAGTTGGTATATGATTAGCAGGCATCACAAATGGCTGATAGCACAATAAGGATAAAAAAATGATTTTTTTTTTTTTTTTTTTGGGGGGGGGGGGGGGGGGGGGGGAAAGAACGAAAGAAAAAGGCGTTCTGTAAAAGACGAAATCGTGGATCTGACTCTGGAAATTTTTGGTTTCTGTTTGAATCCTGTGAATGTGGAAAGGAATTTTGCCTAATTTTTGTTGTTGTTGATTCAGAAATTTGGTTTCACTGTTCATCAATTCAAACAAGATTTTCAAGAAATTTCGTGGAAGGATGCAGAGTTTCAGTGATTTTCGAGAAATTTCGTAGATCATGAACTGTAGTGATTTGGTGTTGGAATTTAGAGATCTGTAGAAATCAAAAATTGAAAAGAGAATGAAACTTACCTGAATCAGTTATTTCGCTTCGAATTGAATCCTCCTCTTCGATTGGATCCAGAAGAGCTTCATTTCTTCCGCCATCGGTTTCGTTAATCTCGATCGTTGTCTCTTCGACGATTTCCTTCTCATCCGAACAAATCTTTCCGTCATTTTCCTCCTCTTCCTTCATTTTCTTAATCTCGTTCTTCTTTTCCTCCATTTCGACATCACCGTCGCCATCGCCGTCGCCGTCGTCCTCGACCACCACTACCGCCGCCTCATCGCCTCCTTTCTGCTCCTCCTCTTCCTCATCCCGATTCTTCTTCTTTCTCTTTTTCTCCGCCGTCACTTTCCGTAGCTCCAAGGCAACGTCAGCGATCGGATGATACTTCTGCATTTGCAGGACCGGANGGGGGGGGGGGGGGGGGGCGTGGGAGGGGTATGAACCTGACCAATAATATCATACACTCCACCAATAAGCATAACTTCATGTCGGTCCCTCAAGAAGAGCAAGCCTGAAACACATAGTGAAAGTCAAACCTTTACATGAAAGGTGAGCAAGCCATTTGTTACACTATCTGACTGGCTATTGAAGATTTTTCTAGATCCCTTATAAGTGAGATAATTGAGACAAATATGGGTAAATCAAACAGAGTAAAAGCAGTCACAAGGTTCTTGAAGCAAATCCAAAACCCCTTCAGAGCTTCATCTGTTATGCTCAATTATAGTTAAAGACCAAATACCCCTGCCATTTGAAATTTTGAAATATAACGATCAGAGCAGAAAATTGATGAGAGCAGTTGCTAAGGTGATAGTGGAAGAAACAAAAGGTGATATAAATACATCATCAGAATTAAGGATGACTCTGAATTCAATCCATCGCCTGTGTAAATCAACAATTTTTTTTAGTTTTTTCCTCTAACAGATCCTCAATACAAACAAAAGAAGAAAACACTTGGTGCTAGAAAATAATGGCTAAGAGCCGCCTTATGCCGTCACATCTTATCAAACAACTCAAGAAAAAGCACCTGGGTGACAGAAATACTGCTATGAAACGGGATTTCAGTGTGCAAAATGTGGAGAAAGCAAATCAGGAACACCCATGAAACTTACATTGAACCTGCAAAGATGAACGAATCAATTAGATAACTTCTCCCATGTTAATTAAGTTGAATAAGGTCTATAAGATAAAAGTCAGAAGTATGTTGACCACCAACGCAGATGGAAAAACTTCTTTTAGGCCATTGTTCTGCCTTCCATAAAATCGTGACACTTCCAGAAAACAGTTGCTTAGCCTACTAAAAAGGAACCAGCAGCTATTGACCATTTAAAGCCTTCACCAAACAAGTTGCTTAGCCTACTAAAAAGGAACCAACAGGTACATCCCCCTTGCCATTTACTTGGATCGAACTCAAAGGGCTTGCTTGAGCACTGGAAGGACGATGATAATAATAGTGTAGATAATTTTTTTAAAAATGGGCATGTAGAAAACTGGATGGAAGTATACCCTCCAATTTGATAAAGAGGGTGCAGTTCTAGAAATTTAAAACACCTACATCTAATGGAGTTCAATGTTATACATTTCATACAAAGTAATGGCCGCATCCTTAAATTGAAAGGGTTCAGGATAATGAACTAAATGGTTAATAGCTCGGCTTGTCCAATTGGTTAAATGAGCTTGGCTGTGCATAAGACTTGTTGATATAGCTTTCTTGTTCAACCAAAAGGGAACTCTACAAAAATGGGGAAAATCTGACAAGCCGCGCTTTCTTCTTTGCCTCCTCGTCAGTAGCGATTGACAAAGTTAAGAGCTCAAATCTGAAGAACATAAAAGATAGTCGGACTGAGGAAAGATGAATTATACAAACTTCTCTAACACGATACTAAAAAAGCAGAGAGAAAAACCTCTCCGCTCTGGCCTTTCTCTTCAGCTCTTCTGCTTTGAACATTTCATCCGGTCCACATACTGAATCAATGCCGAACCTGCGAAGTTTCCAGTACTCAAACGAAATGGCAGCTTTAAAATTGCGGAACGACACAAGAAAGAAAACTAAAGAAAAAAGGATGAATAAGAAGAAGTTCCGAACTATCTTCTGCATCCAATTCGAAAAATGAGAATACAGAATACTTGTTCTTGAATAAATGCATTAATCAGTTGAAGAATTCACTATCTATCCAGGAAACGGCATCAAATTCAAAGACAGAATTCTAAGCTCACCACATTCCTCGGAACATAGACATACGAACGCGCAACAAATCCGTACGAAAAAATAAACAATGCTGCTAAACCGCAAAATCACCTCTCAGCTCGAGAGAATCGCTTTTCTGCCTCCGACAAACGTACAGGAATCCCGAACCGCTCCGCACGACGGATCTTCTTGAAGATATCAAAAACAGAAGCATGATGCTCCGATGTTCTCCCCAAAACGGCACGTTGAGATTCAGTGCCTTCCTTTGTAGCGGTGGGAGTCACGGAATGGGAAGGCCCGACAGCAAATGAACGGCGATTTTGGTGTTGATCTACTTGGCCATTACCAGCGGCTGCAGATCCTAAATTCAACGGCAAGGCCGATTTCGGTCCTGGAAGATTGTTTTCGCTCAGTTCTTCTGTGAAATCAGTCGCCATTGAAGAAGGAAGATCGGGACCTGCGCGAAATTTAGAATCATTAATATAAAGAGGGTGAGCTTTTCGATGCGCGGTTTTATTTTTTTGGGGTTATCCTTGTATTTTTCAACGCCTGACCGGTTTGGCGGTTTGGGATCCATCTTGGCGGTTCGTTTCTTTTCTCTTTGGCGGTTTGTATTTTGTGGCCGAGAAATAACGGTATTTTTCATTTTCGATTGATAAATATAAAATTGATATGTTTAGTCACTTGAAAATATATGCTTCAAATATTCAAATATTTGTTTGTCGTGACCATCATAATTACCATATATTATTAAATATAGCCCTTCATTTAAGAAATACAAATATCATATAAGATATAAACGATAGTAAGTTGTCATAAAGAATAGGTTCCTGTATCTATTAGATTCATGAATAATGGTAGTACATTTCCCTCTCCTAGGCTGTATTAGAATTTATTTGGTTCATCACTCTTTTTTATACCTGAATCATTTTGATTCATCTATGACATTAATACTTCTATATGACATTAATGCTTCTATATCTAGTTGAGAGGTAATGAGTTTGAGTGTCTTTTTATTTGTTCGGAGTAATTTTGTTGAGAAATTTTGAGATTAGAATGAGTTTAAAAAAAAAAAAGGCAAAATATCCCCCATCAACTTAGAAAAATTCGGTTCACTTTTCAAGTAATTATACCCAACTAATATCAAAGGGTAAAATACATATATATGACAATCACCTTAACTTGCACATTTTTCTTACAAAAACCATATATACTCTCTATCTATATTCTATAAACAAACGCAAAATGGAGCATAGAAATGCGCATGACTTGATGATTTTTGAGTAAATATTGACGATCAGGCACCTTCAAGTGCATTCAATCAAGCTTTTTTGAACGACCGCCTTTCGTACTCGTACTCGTACTCGTACTCGTCCTCATAGAATATATCCAACAGTATGGCTGACAAACGTTAGGGAGCGAAGATGAGCCTCATTATAGTCGTCTAGTAGGATTCCTGTCGTATCTTCTACCGCCATTAAGCTTCCTATCAGAATCTCTGTTGGTTCTTGGAGGAGTACTGGCAGATCCAGGAGAGCTGTGGGGTATGTTCGAACCCGGGTCGTATCTTTGGGAAGCTAGATAAGATAAAGCTGTGACAACATCGGCGATCACAGGTCGCATATTTGGCTGCTCTTGAACACACATTGCTGCAACTGCAAGAGCCTGATACAAACCCCTTGAAGGGTATTGGCCTCTAAGCATTGGATCTGCCATTTGCGCAAATCTCATACGGTCTTTAAATAATGGTCTTGCCTGCAATAAAAGGATTTGTACAATAAATCAGAAATATCTTTCCAGTCTCGAGGTTTCCTGTACCAATCTATTAGAAGATAAGCTTCGAGAGAGAGGAAAAAGAAATCACATGCTGAACAACATTTGATTGGTATAATGTTAAATAATAAAAATATATAGATATAGTTCTTAAGGTGAGATCCCACTTCGGTTGGGGAGGAGAACGAAGCATTCTTTATAAAGGTGTGGAAACCTCTTCCTAGCATACGCGTTTTAAAAACCTTGAGGGGAAACCCGAAAGGGATGGTGTGGAAACATCTCTCTAGCAGATGCGTTTTAAAAACCTCGAGGGGAATCTCGAAAGGAAAGGTATGGAAACTTCTCCTTGGCAGACGCGTTTTAAAAACCTTGAGAGGAAGCCCATATAGGACAATATCGGCTAGCGATGAGTTTTGGCCGTTACACCTAATGATATAGTCATATACAAGACAAATGTCCTAATTTAAAAGACTGATGTGATGTACCATAGTAGCTAACATGGCATCAGTTCAATTTAGGCAATATACAGGCATATATCATATTAATTTTCTTGTGTTGTCATGTCAACTCTTTTTATTATTTATCTGGATAATTAGTATAGATGATTATATAGCTACATTCATAGAAGCATGTGAATTGAACAAAACAGAAAGAAGGGACTAAAATGATAAAAGTTGTAACCTATAGAGACTATCAAACACCCAACCTATTTGTACCTTTCACCTCCTAGGACAACTTTTACCAGATATGAAAGATGATAAATTATTTTTACTAGTGTTACCGCTGAAGTTGCATAGAAACGAAGAACATTAAGTCCTAGAATTATCAGACCATTGAAGCCAAAAAGTGATGTACACATGGGAAAACGTTAGATCTCTTACCCATGAAACCAGATTTTGCTCCCCTGCTGCTCTTGAATCATCAATTGCTTTCCTGCCTGTTATGATTTCTAGAAGGACAACACCAAAGCTATAAACATCAGACTTGAGAGTTAACTGACCAGTCATTGCATATTCAGGAGCACAATATCCGTAAGTGCCCATAACTCTGGTAGATACATGTGTATTATCCCCAACAGGCCCAAGTTTGGCCAATCCAAAATCAGACAGCTTGGGATGATAACCTTTATCAAGCAGAATGTTGGAACTTTTTAAATCTCGATAAATAACTGGCGGGCTCGCTTTGTCGTGCAAATATTCCAACCCTCGTGCTGCCCCAGTAGCTATTTTCATTCTTGTATTCCAATCTAGTACTTTTGTACCAGGTGAAATGTCTGCAGAAAAAGATAACAAAGAGTAAGCAGGGAATTTTCTATGCAGTAAAAGTATACAGAGCATGTAGAAATTTCTATACCATGTAAATGGTCATCTAAAGCTCCTAGACGCATATATTCATATATAAGAAGCCTTTGATCTCCATCAGCACAATAACCAATCAGATTAACTAGATTTGGGTGATGAAGTAGGCTTAACATCAACACTTCAACGAGAAATTCTCTGTTCCCTTGCAACCCATTGCGGTCAAGTTGTTTGATTGCCACAACCTACAATGAATGAAAAGAGTGATTTCAAGTCCTGCGTCCAACTTCCTTTCGAAGTATGACAAACTAAAAGGGATTAATCTTTGAGCAGCCTTTGAACTGTGAAATAATAAGCTGAAAAAATTAAACTAAATCAAAATTCACAACAAGAAAGGGATCAGGCATACATATATGATAATTACATATATGATAATTATACAACCAAATAAACCATCGTGGTATAAGAAATATGACCAACCTGATTGATGCTTTCCAAATTTCCTTTGTAAACTCTACCAAAACCTCCCTCGCCCAAAAGACAGTCTGCCCTAAAATTCCTGGTAGCAGCTGCCAACTCCCGGAATGAAAATATCTGTGCCTTGATAGGATCAGATCCTCCACCTTTCGAGGCTTCACTGAAGGAGGAACTTGTCTTTAGTTTCCCTGCAAAATGAAAAACAGATCAGACAAAAAATTTCCGAAAAATTTATAGTAGCCACTGGACTTGATTCATATGATAGCAGTAGCGCAAAAGTCTCCTGTAAAAACTTATCTACAGACAGAATAAAAAGAAATTCAGTATCAGTTGATAGCGAATAACAGAAATCAAGGAACTCGTGGACATGATATACTCCAAATTAACAATCAGTAAATATGTCAGGATGCGATTGTGTATTCTGGATCAATGCGCACTAGTATTTTGCTATTTGTAAACTGGAGTCTTGAAATCGCCATTATGTTGAAGAAGTTAGCATACAGCTTCGATGAGAGAAAAATTCAAACTAGATTTAGAAAACCGGATGTCTGATTGAAGTACCGTCAAGCTGGATCGTCGATACGATCGCCATAGAGACGTTTGGCAACCATAAATCTCTCAATGTAAATCAGACGTCCAACAATTTCTACTAAACATGAACCTGGTTTAATTTTATACTCTACAGAAACGCAGTTCGTTTGAAAATCAATGAGGTAACTAACTACATCGCTAATCAAGTTCTACAGAAACTAAAGTCAAAGAAAGAAATGAAAAAATGAAAAAACTCGACCGAATCCATCCGAACGAAGTGGATTCCAAATACGACCACAGTACAGTTAAGCGAAGGAGTAACAGATTAAATCAAAGAATAGAGCAAGAGATAGACGTACCTGAAGCAGCTTTGATTGGATCAACTCGACTCTTCTGAGATTCCAACTTCTTTAATTTCTTGGACCTGACTTTCCTATTTGAATTTCCAGAACAAGGAATCCAAATCATGCTTAATTCAATCTCCTTGCGCACTCTTTGATGAACTTCCACAGCAGCATCCAACCAAGAAGAGGAAAACAGATGGCCTAAAAGTATCCAAAAGTTCTGCAAATCCAAAACCAATATAAAAGCCACCAGTTTAGAAAGCTCCGAAGAACATGAATCAGAAATGGCCTTCAGCTGTCTCCTTGAAATGTTCAGTTTGTCTTTTCCCGTTTACTTTCTCTCTCTCTCTCTCTCTCTCTCTCTCTCTCTCTCTCTCTCGCCAACATATTTTCTTCTTTTTTTTCTTTCAAGAAAATTAGTTATTGGCCGAAGTTCGGACGTTCAAAACGATGTCGTATTAATCTGATTCTCAAATTCTTTTCATTGGGCTATTTTAGTTTATTGGGCCCGCTTTGGACCTTGGTGGGCTAATCTACACCCACCGACGTGTCGTATGGGTCATTTCCATTCTGTCGGAGTAGTTGAGATCACGTTGAATTAAAATATTGTTTAGAACCTTCATTTGACAGCCAACGTGGCATGTATTTATTTATTTCTCTTTTTTCTTTTGCAACAAACGTGGCATGTATTTAGAAAAAGAAAAGGCAAAAATATCTGATCCAAGCTCTTAATAGTTGACCAAGAATACGTGTTAAGATTCTCATACACCCATATTATATTTATTTCTCTCTATTTATTGTAATTTATTTGATTACGTAAATGATCATAAATAAAGCCTATAATTAGTTAATTTTAACTATCATTTAGGTGCGGTAGTTTAGTAAATATTCTCATAAAAAGTGGTCAATGGTTTACTCGACTTTTTTTGGTTCATAAAAGTACTAGGAAGGACTCCATGATTGAAAAGGAGAGGAGGAAAAACAAAGCTATCTTGTTGGTTTGATGTCTACAAAACGTAACACTCATTGGAAGTGCTTGAAAATTTGCTCAACTAAAAGCAGCACAATGAAGAGTAGTCACTACTCTGT